TATAATAATTCAAACCTATTAAGATAAATATTGAAACCAAAGATAACTTCGATAAATATTTTTAAAATAGATCTTATACAATGATCAATAAATAAACATAAAGTCAAGATAAACTTACATACAACACCCCAACAAATAAAGGATACAAAGAGAAGAAATAATATGTACGCACGGTAACTCCGTTCGCCTAATTTCGCACAACAATTTACGCACCTAGCGATTTACGCCTTCAACCTAGCGACCATGACAGAAAACTTAGCTCTTGTTTCGACCATAACTTGAGAACCGTAACTCCGATTTACGCACGGTCGGAAGAGTTAGAAAACTTATTCAATGCTCTATAATACAATGACTAAATATTATTGCTTGAATACATACAAAAATAAGATAAAAACAATTAAACTCAATTATATTTACACGATAACGCAATATATACACTATAACATAAACTATATAATATACACACAAAAGTTGAAGTTTATTGGTATAAAATAAATGAATTAAGCCGATGAGTGCTAATTATTCACAGTCAAAATCACAACAATTTAGCACTCATCAATCTTCCAACTCTTCGGCTCATCTGGTGCCGAGATTGGCATTGAGCCTATAATTGCGCTAGTTGGCCAGTTTAAAGCGAAGCTTTTTTATGTGGACTTTTTCGTGACTATGGAAAATGATCCTTTTGTAGCTTCTAACATTAAACTGTTATAAAACCATATCGGTGACCATGTTTTAACTGATCCACTCCTTCAGTTCGTGTTGTATTTTGACTCTTCCTTGAACGAGCTTACAAGAACGTTCTACAACAAGCACATATTAATCGACTCCAACTGAAGGTTGAAGTTGCGTCTAAAGAATGGACCTTAATTACCTTGTCCAATCAACAGGTTGACACACTAGAGGCTCATGCTCAAAAGAACCAGGGTCAAATTTCATCTTATGACCAACTTATCTTGCAGCTGATGAAGCAAATTGAAGATTTAAAAAGAAAGAAAGATGACTTGGAGAAATCTACATCAAGCTGCTTCATGGAACACATTGATAAAAAGTCCATTATTGGGCTTCAACATGTTGAAGTTATTATTCGCTTGGATGATGAGATTGCACTGTTATAGGATGAGGAATCCAAATTAGATGCAAGAGTCAAGTTCTCTAAGGCACGGTTTGAAAATTTCAAAATCGAGTTTTCTTTCTAAATGTAACTACCAATTTAAATTCTTAAATGATTTGGTTTGTGTGTAACGACATTTCCAATTTGACCTTTATATTGACACCATTTTAACATTATGCCTTGACCTTTATATTGACACCATTTTAACATTATGCCTTTCCGTGCATCATTATTATGTTATTCAAATTTCTTGCAGCATAGGTTTATATTTCATTAAGTATTTTTCATTTACTCTTAGAATTCAAGTGATAGTACATAACTCCTGAATTTTGTAAGCGTTATTTGAAAATACTTGGTTAACTCGAAATGGTCTATTCCAGTATTGTGACAATTTTCCTAAGGTCCCTATCCTTTCGATCCATAGGTAGAATTACCTTTCAGACATAGTCACCAACTGCAAAAACCTTCGACTTAACTTTTTTGTTGTAGGTTTTAGCTATTTGTTCCTTTTCTCTAATGAAAACCTTTCTTCATCGAGGTCGGTCAACTCATCCATCATCATATTCCAATAATTGTCGGATGGAATTCCACCTTGTCTTTGGATTCTTACCGAATGTAGTATATCTCAGCATGAAAGACTGCATCATGGCCAAATGTCAGTCGAAAAGGTGTAGCATTAGTTGTTTCTTTAGGAGATGTTCGACAACGCCAAAGTGCTTGGTCTAAAGTCTTATACCAATTCTTTGACTTTTTACCCACATGTTTCTTAATTATGTCAGTTATGATTTTATTTGCAACCTCGACTTGTCCATTTGCTTGAGCGTAATAAGGGGTAGAGTTTAACATTTTAAATCTTGTTTTTGGAGAAAATTCGATCATCTTTCGACCGGTGAATACTAAACTTTGGTCAATGGTTAAGGTTTTAGGAATTTCAAACCTACACATAATATGACTCTGAACAAAGTTGATCACAACGTCTTGATCAACATTCGTTAAAGGCACTGCTTCGACCCATTTGGTAAAATAATTGATGCCTAGTAGGATGTGCTTATAATTATTAGATGATGTATGTCAAATTTCACCAATTAAATCTAACTACCAACCTCTAAATGGCCAAAGTTTAATAATAGAGGCGCAACTCACTAGCAAGAACATGTTTCCCTGCACGTTTTTGACATTCTTGATTTTTGACAAACTCTATATAGTCCTTCAACATAGTTGGCCAATACACACTTTGTCAAAACAAAAGCCACATTCTTGATTTTTGGCAAACTCTATATAGTCCTTCAACATAGTTGGCCAATACACACTTTGTCAAAACAAAAGCCACTTTATCTTATTCCCTACTTGATGGGCACTACAGGATCCACTATAGACGTTGAAGATTTTCAAATAAGCATCGTTTTCACTAAGGCATTTGAGTAAAAATCCTTATAGAGTCTTCTTAAACAACTCATTTTCAATGATCACATAGCTCAATGCCTTAAGTTTGACCTTTCGATATGTTGTCCCTATTGGGTTTTCTAAAAAATCTATAATTGTTAGTAATAGAAAAGAATTACTGTTTATTATTCTGTATTGAATAGGTTTTATTAGTAATAGAAAAGAATTCTTAAATTGGAGACTTGTACTTTTGTATATTTTGACCAATGGTGATGGTAATGATGAAATAAACAAGACACTTTATTATACTCTTTTATGAAGAAATTATAGAAGTCCTTTTAAGTATAACGAAATTTCAACTACACTCTCTCTTGGAACATGGGAATAAGAATACCTCAAAGGAGTAACTACATAAGAATATACATAATCAATTCCTAGATTGGCTTCTAACCACAAATCCTATAGACCTTAAATGTGTTTCCGACGAACATTATTACACAAGGGATGTACCCTTAACATATTCTGTGAATGCCAGAGCAATCAAACCCAACATTGCAATTCTTCCGTTCCACAACTCCGCATCTGAGGACATGATACTTTTTGATTTAGACTCAACACTAACACCTTGCAAAAATGGAATCAATGAAGCAAGTGACAACAACACACTTGTCCCCAAGAACCATGCAACTCCACCACCGGATAACTGTTCAAACAAACCCTGCCCTCTTGCTATCTCCACCCCCATTGCTGATACAAAACCAATCATAGCCAACCTTCCATTGATCCTTTCAGGTGCTGGCCCACCAAAAGCCATCAAATCTGAAAACTTTGTGCTCATCTGTCATTTCAACATCATCATTAATTATTACAAGGCTCTCATTAATTTAGACCAATATTAATGCTTTAAAAATCTAATCAACAGAAAAACAAAAGTAATAAATTTGTGTTAGTATTCACACCTTTGGTGGACGAGTATATGCTGGTTGTGGTGTTGGTGTTGGTGCAATTGGTGTAGTTGGGTCTACAGACACCTTAGGTTGCTCTTTCTGCTCTCCCTGAACAGTGTAATAAGTAAATTAGCAACTAATCATTCTTAAATCATAGACATATTACATAATGCATATACATAAGCAAATACTACGTATGTATAACCTCAAAATATGTTTGAAAAAAGCATAATTACCTCAGCCATAGATCTAACTTTGAGGCTGACATTGCTTCTGAAGCTTGGAATGTAGACAGAAGGGATGTTGGTAAACTGGTTAACTCTAGATCTGCTAGAAATGTTGGTCATAGAACTTGACATGATAGATTGACAAGATGAAACAGCCATTGATGTTAATGCAAAACTCAAGAACCAATGAGATAGATTAAAGTATTTTCAAAGGATATGAATAGCTTTGTGAATCTCACTAACTGAATGCTTACACCTTAGATTGTTAAGTTGGTAGGTAAAGCATTGAAGAAGGTTGTTTATATAGAATAAAAAGGAAAACATATTGTGAGGGATATTAAGTTCCACGTAGTGTGCGAAAAGCTCACAAAAGGTAATTGATTCACGTGGGTTCATTTGTCCACAGATGGTAAAAGCATCATACGTGGCTCAAGTTAAAACCAGAAAGTGCTATACACAAAATTGAGGTTGAAAGAGAGGGGTTGTAAACCTGGAACATTCAGGACCTCAACTGCTGTTTTTACTGTTTATTAGTATTACTTTGGTATAGTCTAGAATATTCTATTGCTCTATAGATTACATTATACAATTGGTGGTTCTGAATGATTCTTAGTTAACCAAGAACCTAAAACTTTTACTTTAAGACAATTTTTTTTCTATCTGATGCTTTCTTGCAACTACGATGACATGCATTTACTTCTAAAAGTTGGTTGGACCTCACCTATGTATTCAATTTTGCAATGGAAGTATAAGATATATTATATTTTGTTTAGTTTTTAACCAATCCTGACTTAACTGTTTGTAACTAGAATTCTTCCGGTGAAACTAACTTTTTAGTTTCAAAGGAAACTAGCAAAGAGTTACTATTTATTGTTCATCACTATTTTTACAGAAATCATGGCTCATCCAAAACCTCTATAAAGCAGTTTAGTTAGAAAAGTGACACAAGTCAGAAGGTAGTAAAAAAAGAATACTATTATTGAACATAGTGTTAACAAATATGCAAATAACAGACAATTTTTGTCCAGTAATAAAAATAGAGTGACAGTAAAGTTGTAAAATTAACAATGACATGGCATGGATGCAAGGGAGGCAAAAGATGCATAAGTGCATAACTGCTTTGCCATTTACTATATAATAAATAAATCCTAGAAGATAGACTTGAAAGGACAATTCTTCCATGTAACTCATAGTCATATAAACAAATTCCATAAACAAAAGAAATGTTTATTTCTCATTCACTTTTACAGTCATAATCTTGTGGAGATATAAGGATATTGGTAGAATACAAACCATTGTTTATTACAGGATTGCACAGTTCTCTCTATGCAATTACTTTAGTGGTGGTGTAGTTGTAAACTTCCACATATATTGCGATAAACTACCATAGTCTCGGTTACCAGCAATATCCTCAACAGGGACTGCATCAGAAATTTCCCTCAACTGTTCTTCTGTAAGCTTCACATTCAGAGATCCAATGTTGTTTTCAAAGTTTTTCAATTTAGTAGTCCCTGTCGTATCAAAAAAATATATCATAAAGCACTTGGTCAATAGAATCAATTTATTCTCATGCTTACAATATTTATATACTTTATAGACAAGACTTTAGGTACTATCGAATTGTCAATGAAGAAATGTACATTATGCCGAGAAAATATATTTAATGGGGACATATGAAACAAATTACAAAGAAAATGGTTTTAATACTTTCATGCTTTTTCCTTCTTCATTGAGTGGTAGTATTATAAGTATTATTTGAAGAAGTCACTAACCAAAGACTCTAGTTTAGTTTTGCTAACTCTCTTTGTTAGTTAGAATTTAGTTTTGCTAACTCTCTTTGTTAGTTAGAATTTAGTTTTGCTAACTCTCTTTGTTAGTTAGAAGTTAGTTTTGACAGTTAGAAACCGGGTAGCAATTGACCCGGGTAATTATAGCCCAGGATTCTGAAATATTTCTAAAAATCGTGTGAAAAGCTTCACCAAGCTCTTTTTCACTTAGGCTTTGTGTTAAGCAAATGTGACCATTCTCTCTCCATTTACTCTTCTCAAGGTATTATCATGTGTGCTTTGGTGTATGTGGATGACATTTTAATTACTGGTTCATCCTCCAAACTAGTTCATGATCTTATCAACAAACTCCATCTCAAGTTTGCCTTAAAGAAACTTGGTAGACCTGTATACTTCTTAGGCATTTAAGTAAGCTACCATGCTCAAGGCTCCATTCTCGTCTCAGTCCAAGTACATTAAAGATCTCCTCGCAAGATCCAACATGTCAGATGCCAGTGGAGCTCCCACACCAATGCTCATCTGTCTCGAACTCAGCAAACATGGTTTTGATACTTTCTCATATCCTCATCAATACAGGTCAATTGTTGGGGCTTTACAATAATCTTTACCTTAACTAGGCATGACATTTCATTTAGTGTCAACAAGGCTTGCCAATTCATGGTCTCTCCTTTTACCACACATTGAAGAGCTGTTAGAAGAACTCTAAGATACCTAAGTGGAAGAGTAAATTCTGGCCTCACCTTGCTTCATTCTAATGCTCATAACAAATTCTCTCTTAGAGCATATAGTGATAGCGACCTGGGCCAGTGAAATTGATGATTCCACCTCTGGCTAATGCATTTTCTTTGGCCCAAACCTACTGCCATGGAGTTCCAAAAAGCAATCTCTAGTTGCTAGATCTAGTGCACAGGCTGAGTATCGAGTACTAGCACACACAACTTTTGTACTCCTATGGCTAGAATCTCTCCTAACTGAGCTCTACATCTCCTTCTTTTCCACCTTGCTTTATGACAACCTAAGTGTCATTCATCTCTCACACAAACCTTCCCTCGATGCTTGCATAAAGCACAATGAGTCGGGCGTCCATTTTGTGAGAGAAAGAGTATCATCCAAGAAGCTGATTGTCCAACATGTTCCTGCTTCACTTCAAATAGTTGATACACTTACCAAGCTCCTAAGCTCTGCAGCATTTCATGATCTTAGAGACAAGCTCAAGAATGGCTCGCACCCACCTTAAGCTTGAGGAAAAGTATTAAAAGTATAATTTGAAGAAGTCACTAGCCTACGACTCTAATTTAGTTTTGCAAATTCTCTGTTAGTTAGAAGTTAGTTTTGACAGTTAGGAATTGGTTGAGTTAGTTAGGAGTTAGTTAGAACTCAACCAACTCTCCTATATTTTGCACACTATACCATTTGTAATGCTTTAAAAAGTGGTATTTTTTAATATAACTAAGCAAAATCCATAAAAATAAATTGGCAGCATGTGTCAAGCATTAATAAAGAAATCTAAAAAAATCATCACATCAAATGTGTTGAACACACAACACAAGTATTCTTCCTAAATATAAACAATGACAGTACCAGGGATAGGGACTATGTCATTTCCCTGATGTAGAAGCCATGCTAAGGCTAATTGAGAAGGAGTGCATGCATGCTTTGAAGCCAAGTCATTGATTCTTTCATAGAAACACTTGTTCTTTTCCAAATTTTCTCCCGTGAACCTGGGATGCATATTCTGTTAAATAAACAAGGAAAAATTTCAGTAGAAAATCACTGCAGAGATAAAACTAGGTGATATTTATGACATTTTCCCTCGGCAGAGATGTGATTCAACAAATTGACCGAGCCTTCTCTCATCACTATTACTTTTACTATTATTATAAAAAAAATTCCAAATTCATGCAAACATATAAAACTGTATTACTTGTGGGTAGTTGCATACCAGTAAGCTCTGACTTGGCAAGGTCTCTACAACTGACTTTCCAGCAAAAAAGCCACGACCAAGAGGGCTGTATGCGACTATTCCAATGCCAAGTTCTCTGCAAGTACACAATAATTCTTAGTCACAATAAAAACAATTTCGGAAATTTTACCGATAGTCTGTTAAAAGGATATATGAAAGAGTTGGCAAATATATCAAACCAACTAGAGTATAATTGCAACCAAATGCACTATGAAAAGAGAATATTTCAATTCGCATACCTGCAGAGTGGAATTATTTCTTCTTCAATGTCACGAGACCATAAGGAATACTCCATTTGTAAAGCGGTAATAGGATGAACTGCGTGTGCTCTCTTTATAGTGTCAGCGTTAGCCTCTGACAACCCAATATATCTTATCTTCCCTTCATTAACCAGTTGCTTGAGCTCCTCCATCTTTTACAAAGAGGTCAATGTTAAAGCATTTAATCACCTAGAAATTTCAAGTACTGGAAATGATAGGTATGCATAAATAAGAGGAGAGGAAAATCATTCAAAACTTACGGTATCCTCAATTGGAACTGAAGTGTCAACTCGGTGTTGATAATATAAGTCTATATAACTGACATCAAGCCGCTTGAGACTAGCTTCACAGCACTCCCTCACATATTCAGGGGTACCTTTTACCCCAAAAACCATCCCATCAGATATAGTAACGCCAAACTTTGTAGCCAATTGCACTCTTTCTCGAGGAAGTTCTTTTAGTGCCTTATGACAGAAGAGAAGAGCCACCCATAAGTTTTATTTTTACAATAGAAATCAATATATTTATTTTCCATTAGTCATAAAGAGTGTATATATCCTTTGAGAAGGTACAATTATACTACATTGCAACAACACATTAGTTTTCCCTCACACGTGCCACCATGAGGAAACCTTAATTCTAATTCATACAATAAATATAGCCGATAAGAGTTATCTATATGTGACTCAGTTGTATTTCCAGTTATAGAAATGCTTATGTATTTCCAACACCCAGGCTTGCAGTAAAAAAGATAATTAGTTATTGGATAAGATGTTACCTTACCAACCATGATTTCGTTATCATGTTTGTGTCCATAAAGATCTGATGTATCGAAAAAGGTAACCCCTCTATTGAATACTTGCTTAATAATTGAACATCCAAGTTCGTGTGAGAGGGGAGCATTGTAAATTCCTGATAAACCTCCACATCCAAATCCCAACGAAGACACCTGCATTCCACAAAATGAAATTACAGAGGGGCTTATCTTATCATCACGATTCACAAATCTTAAGGTGATAGAGGCGCTGAAATTGTAATCCATGCATCTTGTAAGGTATGAGATATCGTACAGTTCAACTAGCATCATACTACTGGACTAACCAGAGTAATCCAAATTTGAATAGTAAAAGAAATCTATTCTACAAAGTACTATCAATAATAGCATGATGAAATTTTACCTCTAAGCCTTGATTACCCAGTTTGACTCTTGGGACTTGTTGAATCTCACTCTTCTCCTCCATTCTGCAACTCTATTATTATTGTCTTCCCTATAAGATGCAAAGTTTTAGTAACACAAACAGTTGTTGTGGAACAAACAATTAATTAATCAAAATTATTACAGATAATTAGGTAGGTAGGTAGTTGTTAAATTATGATAATAGGAAGTAGTTGTTGGAAGATTATTACGTTGCCAACCACAATTTCGATAAATTACATCATCTGAGGCATGTGAAAAACGGAAGCAACGCCGTTGAATCCATTAACGTGCGATTGTGAGAGATGAAATCTGGAAAAAAAAGGTCCGCTTTGAGCCTAGGGCTTCCTTGAGCGATGAAAACCAACCGTAAAATTAAAAAAGTGGTGGTTCACAAAGTGGCTAAGCTCACTGACCGTTTTAGACTAGAAGTGCTGTGACTTGTCATCCCTCCACTGTTGAAAGCCGAGGGTAGTCGCTACTCTGTGAGGCCTGAGCCATGTTCCACCACCTTGATGCCCTCCCTAGAGTTACAAGTTGGAGCTACCCAACTCGGCGAGCTTCCGTATCTGTCAGACTTTTATAAAGTCTTGTTTCTTTCTTAAAATTGCCGATGTGGGACTTAGAGCATGGTGCAATCCATTTTTTTAATTATTTGTGGGATCCACTCTTTTAAAACAACTCATTCAATTTTCACTTCAATGGTGCAACTTCAAAAAACTTATATTGAGTCCCACCACTTTACTTAAAATATATTATTTATATTAAATTTATTTTATTTAAAATTATAATTTAAATATTTAAATTTTAATTAATATAAATACAAATTAAACATAAAATTAAAAATAATAATTAAAATTGAATTTAAATACATGTCACATAATTAAAAAAAATAAAAATAAATAACATCACATAATTAAAAATAATAAAAATAAATAACATCATATAAAAGATGAAAATTTGAAATAAAATGATAATGAAAAGAAATTGTTGGAAAAAAATTAAATATTTATGAATAAAATGATAAAATTGTGAGAGAGAAATTTGAAATTAAAGAGTAAATAAAAGTGAGAGCAAATAGGATTGGTATACAATTTTTCCAACAAACCTATATTTATAATAAATAAAAAAATTTAAAAAAATAATAATAAAGTCGTTGCGCAACGGTTAAATGATTATTTTAATAATAAAAAAAAAATAAAGAATCATTGCTTATGTTTGTAACGTTTACCAGCTGGAACAACTTTTTGTTGACAATTTCAATGTCAACCTGGCAAACCAATTTGAAAAACCACTGTTGGAGGTGGTCTTATCAATAAGAGACTCCACCATTCATTTAAGTTTTATAATCATTTTTTCTGTGCAAATCATGGGATATTTGATGTTTGAATGAATATCAATGAGATGAAATAATCAGTGGTCATATTTCCTCTAAATCTAAACTGAATTCATTCTCTGTTGCATGAAAAAAATTAAACTCAATTTGTAATAATTAAAAGCAATCATCAGCATCAACATACACTAAACGCAACATATGGGTAAGATTCCAGCAAAGTCGTATTATAAGTATATATGAAAGATTCTTTATCCACGTAAAATGAATGTATTTGTTGTAGATGTAAGAACGTATGGTGTTACATATCTCATTAAAAGCAAATCCATTTATGACATAAGTATATGGATGTAGAAACATAAAAGGTTTGAACATTTATTTAAATTGCAACTTTAAGGATGTCTCAGTTTAAAAATACGTGTAATCAAGGAGACTAAAGTCTTCCCTGCTATGTGAGACCAAAAACTAGATCAAAAAATCTTGAGTGATATTACATGTAAGTTTGCATATAGTTGGTTTAATTTACAATGATAGTATGATACGATTCTTGATGGATACCATTGAGATTATGGATTCAGAGAAGTCTCAGTGAGTATAGTAGCAACTATTGAATCAAAGTCAATAAAAATGAGGTTATTTGTGCTCGGAGGGACATTAATATATAACCTCATAATCGATTGATCAATGCATGCTTTTGGATACATTCTAGCGGTGAAGTAAAATGTCTCATGGAAAATAATGATGAGTCATGACTTTGGCATAAAAGAGTAGCCCATATTGATATAGAACATTTAAACAAACTAATCAAATATGATCTTGTCATTGGTTTACCAAAGATGAAATTTGTCAAAGATAAATTATGTGATGTTTGTCAAAAAGGAAAGCAACTCAAATTAACTTTCAAGGCAAAGAATGTAGTATCAATTACAAGGTCACTTCAATTGTTGCACATGGACTTATTTGAACCATCAAGAACAAGAAGCTTCAGAGATAATGTATATGATTTATTTATTGTTAATGATTTTTCTAAATTTTTTTGGACACTTTTTTTAGTGCAAAAAAGTGACGCATTCAAGGCATTCAAGAAGTATGCAAAATATGTGTAAAATGAAAAATCACTAAAGATTGCATCAATTAGAAGTGACTATGATGGAGAGTTCCAAAATATATCATTTGAAGAGTTTTGTGAAGAACATGTCATCTTTCACAATTTTTCAGCACCAAGGACTCCACAACAAAATGGAGTGGTTGAAAGAAATAATCAATCTCTTGTTGAACTTGCAAGTACTATGTTGAGTGTCTTAAATCTACAAAAGTACTTTTGGACGGATGTGGTTAGCAAACAATGTTATGTAAGTAACTGGATTATCATTAGACCAATATTGAAAAAGACTTCATATGAACTCTTCAAAGGAAGAAAGCCAAACATTGTTCACTTTCATATCTTTAGATGTAAGTGTTTTGTCCTCCACAATTGCAAAGACAATCTCGACAAGTTTGACGAGAAATTCGACGAAGGTATTTTTCTTGGTTACTCTCTCTCTCTCTCTCTCTCTCTCTCTCTCTCTCTCTCTCTCTCTCTCTCTCTCTCTCTCTCTCTAGTAAAACTTATAGGATTTATAATAAAAGAACCTTAACTATAAATCAATACATGTTTTTTTTGTTGAATCTAACCCCTCTAAGGAGGATATAGTTGTGTGTGATGATGATGATATATTTTAGAAGTTCCTATGGAAGATGTTGTCATAGATAACAATGTTGGTCAATCAGAACATAGTGAGGAATCTACCCAATAAAAGACAAATCAAAGTGATCTTTCTCAAGAATGGAGAACACATCATGATTACTCATTTGACAAAGTTATTGGTGACATAAGTAAATGAGTTTAAACAAGGCTAAGTCTCAAGGATGCTTACTTGAATATGACATTTATTTCTAAAATAAAACCTTTAAAGATTTATGAAGCCTTAGGAGACGACCAATGGATTCTTGTCATGCAAGAAGAATTAAATCAATTTGAAAGGAATCAAGTTTGGGAACTTGTTCCTAGGCCAAGTGGTAAACACATCATAGGTACAAAATTGGTGTTTAAGAAAAAACTTGATGAGAATGGTACGACTATTTGTAACAAAGTAAGATTGGTGACTCAGGGTTATAATCAAGAAGAAAGAATTGACTTTGAAGAAATATCCGCTCCAGTTGCAAGGTTAGAAGTTATTCGTTTATTACTTGCTTATGTTAGTTCATTAAACGTTTCAATTATTCCAAATAGACGTCAAGAGTGCCTTCTTGAATGGATACATCAACGAAGAAGTCTATGTCAAACAACCTCTCGGTTTTGAAGACTTCAAGAATCCTTCACATGTATTCAAGTTGAGAAAAACTCTTTATGGCTTGAAGAAAGCACCAAGAGCATGGTATGATAGACTTAGAAATTTTCTATGTGAAAGAGGATTTAAAAAAGGTAAAGCTGATAATACTTTATTTATTAAGAAAAACAAAAATTATACTTTATTGGTTCAGGTCTACATTGACGACATCATATTCAGATCAACAAACAACCATCTATATGAAGAATTTTCATTGATGATGAAAGGAGAGTTCGAGGTGTCTATGATGGGTAAGATGAACTACTTTCTTGGACTGCAAATTAAGCAATTAAAGAATGGAATCTTCATAAACCAATCCAAATATTGGAAAGAATAATTGAAAATGTTTGATATGGATACTTGGAAAGGGATGGCTACTCCAACGGGTTCTGGAATATATGTAGATCAAGATGAACCTGGTGTTTCCATTGATATCACTAAATATTGAGGTATGGTTTGTTCGTTACTTTATTTGACAGCAAGTTGTCCTAACATTACGTTTAGTGTTTGTCTTTGTACATGCTTTCAAGCTAGTCTACGGGAATCTCATCTCACCGCCGTAAAAAGGATCATGAAGTATCTGAAAGGAAAAAAAATGTTGGGCTATGGTATCCAAAAGGCAGTATATGTGATTTAGTTGGTTATTCTGACTTGGATTATGCAGGTTGTAAAACTGATAGAAAAAGAACAAGTTGAACTTGTCGCATCCTAGGAATGTATTAGTTTCTTGGTTTTATAAGAAACAAACATGTATTGCTCTTAGCACTACAGAAGCAGAATACATAGCAGCAGGTAGTTGTTGTGCTCAAATTTTATAGCTTAAGCAACAACTTCGTGATTGTGGACTTGATATTTGATGCATTCCATTAATATGAAACAACACAAGTGCAATCAACATTACAAAAAATTCACTCATGCATTCCCGAACTAAACATGTAGACATCAAACATCACTTTCTACATGATCATGCTCTTCAAGGCAATGTTGAAGTCACTTTTATGGATACACATAATCAACTTGCAGATATCTTCACCAAACCATTGACAAAAGATTCATGTTACAAAATTCGGCGTGAGTTAGGAATCTTGGATGAAAAGGACATATAATAATTCACAAGACTTCATGGATTATCAATAAAATCAAATGTACATGTATGTATTCCATTATTTTACAATTCGACAATTTAAATTTTCCGCATATTTTCTTCTAACCTATTCTTCTAAGTGTTTAAATTTTTGTTGACTATTTGTGATAATCATGTTATAGTTTTAAATATATGTGATAATATATGTTTTAATTTCCATGTGAATCTTTATGATATTCATGATATATTAATTACAGTTA